CTTCTGGGCATCAGACTTCTCAGTGGTGTTAATTAAACCCTACAGGCTAACCTATGTCAATATAATTTCATTCTGTCCCGTTCTAAATATGATCAATAAATATTGGGCAGGATTTTTTTCCTGAAAGGGGTCAATGAGAAAAACAATTTGAGCATTGCCCCCAAGAACAGTTGAGAAGGAAATGACATTGCCATTATTGGCAGATTTCCACCATTCATTTGTATTAGCCATGTGTTGGCTTTTGTCAATAAGATTTTATTTTTGTCCAGTTCTTCCTTATAGATATTGGAATTCTTTACAGCCTGCTAGGCTACTGTGAGACATATTTAGAAACACAATTAGTGATCTTAAGGCTCCATTCCTCTGTCCCCAAGGGAACTCCATTGAAAGATTTTCAGGTTTAGGACTGTGCAGCAAAATAACACAGTTTATCACATGGGGAGAAACATTTTGTGCAAATAAACAGAAATAAAAAATAGTCAATGAAAACTGCATTGTTTCCAGGCACAAAGTGGCAGTGTTGTAAGAAATGTGCTTCCAGAATGGAAGCTAGAACCAAACCGAACTAAAGTGCAAAAGCTGTATAAGAACTTGGTTACCATTCCATCTTAGTCTGGAAGACTGTATTTTAAAAATAATTTTTGTCCAAATAGCTTCTCACCTAATTTTTAATGAATATTTGGACTATATCTAACTTACAAGGAGTTTTAGAACATAATACAGAGGACTGAATAGCATGGCCACAGCATGACTCCTGTGTTATCAGTGCTCTACACCTTGTCCCCTGTGTGCCCTTCAGCTCCAGTCTAAGTCACAGTAGGCAAGAGGGCAAGAGGCTAGGCTGTTGTGATCTATCTACTGCAGACCTCCTGTTGGTGAAAGACCAGTTCACTAAGCATTAAATAGCATAACCTGTCATAAATCCAGGATTTTTTTGGCCCACTTTAATTTAAAAGTAGATTCCTCAACATTTTTTTTGTTTATAACCCCCCCATTTTTTCTGAATGAAAAACATTGTTTTTTTCAGCACACTTGATTGTGAAATTGAACTGGTGCTGTTCTGTTACTGTGGATAACATTAGTTTGTCTGTTTCCACTGGTTTTATTGATTTAAGGGAACAGTTCCTTTCATTGATTAAGAGATCATATATTTTAAAAGATTACCTAAGAGATCATATCCTTGAAAAAGGGGGGGATCTTCTTCAATTCCTGAAGGAGCTGAAGATCCTTTCATTGTTATACAACATTCCCATGCCCTCCCATGGAGCGAGATTATCTTGGTTGATCAAGTTTTGTAAAGCACCTTTTTTTTTTTTTTTTTATTTTTTTTTTTTTTTTATTATTAAGAAGCATGTGCAAATGGCCTGGGGCTGTTGCTGCTTCTTCCTGAGTTCTGTGTTTCTGGAGTGGCCATGCTGACTTACCTGCACTCTGCGTTCAGGAAAATGCTGACCAAAGAGAGTCTTGCATGTAGGTGTAACTCTTCCCACTCAGCACACTGGGACAATTCTCCAGGAGGAAGCAGCAGGGGAAGAAATCTCACTAGATTATGACTGAACTCGACAAGTTTGCAAATGGCATTAAATGACAAGTCCATTTCATTACTGCAGGTGGCCCAAATGTCTGGCTGATCCCCTGTCCTTGTAAAAAAAAAAAAAAAAAAAAAAAAAAGAAAAAGAATCAGGGAAGAAAAAAAACCCCAATGTTTTTTATTGACTTGGGAACAGTTTTGTTCACGTGCACCACAGTAGTACTTTGGGATAAGCTTCCCTTGATGCTTTTGATCCCATTGTAATCACACCTGATCATGACAGACTAGGACCCTCTCTGCTGTCACCAAATGGCATTACAGAGCAATATTGTTACCAGCTGTTTTCTTCCACATTAGACATTTGCTCTTTTTGGTGTAATTTTCAGAGTTTAAGTACTATAATGGGAGCCATGACAGTACTTCATTAGGACTGTTCCTTCACCAGGAGCTCCTCAAGGAGCACAGCCTTACTAAGCAGCCATAGCAGCTAAGAGTGAACAGTCCCATTTATTGTTTAGTTAAATCTTTATCCTGTAGAGATTAAGGCCATTGAAATATTATCGAAGAAACTGGCTTACTTATGGCTGAACATTAATACAAGCAATTGGAAACAAACAAAACAAAACAAAACAAAACAAAACCAAAACAAAACAAAAAAAAACCCACCCACTCTTTTTCTTTAAATAAATGCAAACATTTATTTAAGCAAACATCACTCATGCGAATGCCATTGGAACCTCTAACTAGTTTTCTTCCAGAAAAGTATTCAAATACACACTTTGGAAGTACTATTGGCTTATATTAAAACATTTTCTATTACCGTCCTGTCCTGCTGTATCTAAATAGCATTTAGGCATGTGCTCTCTGTCTAGGAATATTTAGGCTTTTTTCTCCCTACTTAGAAATTCCCCCCTCTTACGAGATCAGCTGGAATTGATAAAGACACTTGTGTTGAATATGAAACGGTAAACCAACCAAGTCTTACAAGCCCAAGAATGGATACAACTGTGTATTTATTATTGACAACTGATTGCTGAATGGAAACTAATTTCAAGATGAGGCAAGGCCTGAAAATTTTTTTTTTCAGGACTGCTTAAAATTATCAGGATGGTTATGTGTGGATGTTGCAAAGGGATCTTTATGATGCTGCAGAATACTTAGAAGAGTTACACTGACTAGCGCTGTTACTTACCCACCCATTTCTCCTGCTCCAACTGTCCTGAATTTGAAAAGGAGCAGCTCAAGACTCAGAGATATGTAGTTCCTGTACAGAGACATTCTTTGCAGAATCTGTGCACACCTGAAGTAGTTATTAACTTTTTCAAGCAGAAGAAAGTCATTGAGTAGACAGCTCTTCACACACTCCTTATCAACCCTGTGTTTGCCACAACAACTATTACAAGCAGCATAGATGAGAAACGTGTTTTGATACAAGCAAATAACACCCCGTCTCTAACATCTGCTTCCCAAACTACCCTCTGTGGACCTATGAGCACCTTGCTGTTTGCACCAGAAAAATAAAATGGTCTCCTGGTGTCAATACCACCAGTGATTTCCAAGAGTGCAATGTATATTAAGTATGTAACCAAGACAAAGACTAAGGTCATAATATCTTCACTGTGATAAAAGGAGTTAAAAAGACTTTGGCACCAATTGTTTAGAGGCAGTTATAAAGGTTATTAGAATGTAATGTGGTGATATATTTTCTCCTGTGTGGAATTAGCATTGCTTATCTATATTTGCACTACTGTGCACATCAACACAAAACCATCATCATCACTAGAAAATTGGGTACCATTTAGACAGGCTTCAAAATGTAGCAAGTTATATGCTTTGGATACAAACCTAATGGGCTTGACACGTGCAAAATAGCTTGATAACTGCATGCTATCTTTGTGCAGACATCACACTACAGAGCTTCATTTGCTGAAGTCTGCAAGTATCTCTTATTTAGCAATTGATCTCAACACAAAACTACTACCTGAGACAGACACAGCTGGGACTTTGTTGCCAGGGAGATTTCAAACTCTGTCTCAGGCAAAGGGCTGGTCACACCACAGCTATCACTGTAGTATGTTGCCTAGAAGAGTTCTGTTTCTAGAAAAAGAGCTTATTTCAGTGGAAAAAGGAAAGTATATTATGATGATTTTTAGCATACTTTTTTTTTTTTTTTTTTTAACAACATCTTCTGTGACCTAGCTCTGGCCGTTGCCTACTGCAGATTTACAGATTTGCACATCCATCATTCAGAGTTCAAGAATCTTTGGGTTTTAAGGGTATTTTGCTTGGGGACTCTGCCTGAAGCATCATTTATTAAACCAACATGGTTAGCATTTATAATGACAGTGTGTTAATTCCCTAATTTTGCTTGATTATTCCTCTGCCTTGGATCATCTATGATAATATTTATTCCAATGGGATCTCATTAGTTTCAATTTATGCGTGTATTTATAAAAATGGTTGTGCTTAAATAAGTATAAGATTCTTTATTAATTGATACATCCATTCATATTAGTACTTTAGGCTTTGAGATCTGTCACTATTTAGGGCCTCACACTAAAATTATTTAAGTTATGGGAAGGTTACCATTATTTTTGTCAGACTTTGGATAAGACTGCCTATGGTGAAGCTCCTTTATAGCATGTTGGATGTAGGAGAGAATAAGGGTTGTAAAAGAGACTGAGAATCAGTCCAATCCATTTGCAAAGCTGCTATTTAACTTGTAAAGCAGAAATAGCTCAAGTGAGATTTGAAAAGCAAAAAAAGGGCTGATTTTTTGAATTAAATTTAATTAGGTAATTCCTTGGGGTGTTTTAGAAATTTTAGCACATCATTTTCAGGCAGTACTTTTGTTTCTTTCAGGCTGTTGTACTTCAGATAGTACTTTTTAAATCAGGATAGCTGGTGCATTTAAGGGCCAGTAGTTAGAGGACTCTGCAAATTTCCAACCTTTTGTGCATTCACTTATAATCATTCAATATTAATTCTTTACATACCAATGGCATGGCAAGCTGGTAATTCCTGTAATTCTCTAGGTAAAACACTTTTTTTTTCCCTGCATGGTCTTAATGATGTATACAACCTAATTAGGAGTAGTGAAAAATGCTGGACACATTCTCAGAGTTATTAGTTAGAGCTCTTTGGAACTGAGACTAACTAAATTGAGCTTATTGGTTAATATTTGTTAATATTTGTTAAATAATCCTGCAAATTAGTTAATTAAATAATTGACTATTTGAGCTATATAATGCCCAGGTTGGATGGGACTCTGAGCATCCTGGTCTATTGGAAGGTGACCCTGACCATGAGAGAGGGGTTGGAACTGGGTGATCTTTAAGGTCCCTTTCAACCCAAATCATTCTGTGATTATATAATTTGTTGATTTTATCAATGAAATGCTTCCCTATACCACTACTCCATAAAGATTCAGAACACAATTCTTTACTCAAGAATAGACACCAACAGAGAATTTTTGTCTTTTATTTAAAGATCAGCAAGACAAATAAGAAATTAATTCTCCATTTAAATTGCAGTATTTCCTTGCATTTTTAGGTGAGCGGAGGATTTTTATAAACAACTGCTCCAAATACTGGTAGAACTCTTGAAATCTGAGAGCTGCTTCCTGAAAAAAAAAAGATAAAAAGTAAAAAAATAATTCTGATTTCTGCAGCCCACATTGAGGGGAAGCTGTTTATACAAGCTCCTGAAACTCTAGAATTTATGTATTTAGGGGAACATAATTTAAACTTTTAGCCTGGTGCTTTTATTTTCCAGCAGCATGGATGTAGCCAAAGGTGATGCCTGTAGTACCACATTAAATTACTTCTTTTGCACAGGGGCCAACTTTCAAGGCCTTTTCCCCTTCAAAATAGGGAGACAATTTAATTGAGATTGATGCACGGCGTATGCCAAATCCTAAATTATGCCTGGGAGTTGTTTAGGAGACTTTGAGCATAAGAAAATACCCCAGGCTCTACCCTAACAATTAAACAGTTTAAACAATCACTTGCTGTGTCTAAAGACTGTGCCCAGGCTTTGTTTAATTTACTTTTACTGCTAGTAGAAGTACATGCTGGTAATATAAAGTATCTCTGGCTTTATCAATTCTGAGCTCTGCTTAGATGCTGAATACAATCCAGAACTAGATAGGTCCTATATTGAAATAAACTCAAAAGGAGATTTTCCCACCAAAGTACTGCCAATACCTATTGACCAGCAATAAACGCCAGCATATTCTTGCATGGGATAACTCCCTGCTTTGTATTCTGCCTGCTATATTCGCCAACAAGACGGATGATTAATGTCTTATAAAAGCAGCAATTCCAAATGGGTGAGAAGCCAGCTGCATCAAGGCTGGTCCTGGGTCCTGTTATCCCCTAGCAACATCTCTGCTTTGCCCTCCCTTCCCCACATACAGCACTCTGTACACTAGAGATGCTGAGTGGCATTTTTAGCTGCAGCCTTCCTTGAGGACACACATTTGCTTTTTGGGAGCAGTGAGGAGCCAGGCTGTGCTGTTTGGCATCTTTCCTGCCATCTCCTTGTTGCAGCTCTGTTTGTGTGAGCCACACTCAGGTGTGACTTCAGCTGGTGCTGCTCTTTGTTCAGGTTATGCAGCTACCGACTCTGCCTCCTCTGGAGATGGCTTGTGCAAAATAGGAGGGGGTTGGCTCATGGTTGGAGGGAGGGAATTCCTTGTTCACCAGAGGTTTTCAAGACATGACTGGACAGAGTCTAATCTCATGGAGGCTCCCTCTCCCATGAAAGGCTGGACCAGATTACCTTTGGAGGTCCCTTCCAGGTTCTGTGGCTGTTGCAGGATGTAAAGTCAAGAGCCTGTGCTCACTTTTGGGATTCTAGTCTACTTCTTTCAGTCCCCTAGTTTTTTTTTCCTTACAGGCTGCTGTTCTGGAGTTTTCCACACAAGATTTTAACCTTGCTGTTAGAGATGAGAATTAAGCTTTCTATTTTAACATCAGCAGTGAAAGGTTTGTGAACACAGCTTCCTTACAGGGCTCAAACTCATGGAGGTAATAGAAGAATTCCATTTCAGATTTATTTTTTCAATCTCTTAGCTCTGAAGATCCTATAGTGACTTTTGAAGGAACCAACAATATTTGAGTAACAGAGTTTACTGAAGTTATTCCAAAAAGTTATGCAAAGTTATTTAGAAAACTCTGAGAATGTGGGTTAATTTCTTACATTATTCTACTGCAGACAAGATTCTTACTTGTTTAGTACCTAAATTAAAAAAAAAAAAAAACAAAAAACTGAATAAACTATTTGGTGCGTGGATACAGCCACTAGATGGGAGGCAAGAGCTGGTTAGGAACTAGGAGCCTGAGCTGGGGCTGCACTTGGGGAACTCCTATCAGCTGCCACTGCCAGCTGTGACATGCCACCCTGGAACTGCACACTAACACATCTGGGACCACTTTGACCAGTGTACACAGGGAGGTTATTCACCGAACTGAAATATTTTTTTATTAATTGATAGTGATGGTGATGAACTGGTGAGGGAGTGAGATATTTTAAAAATAACTGTGTTAATTCTTTGCCTCTAAATGGCTTTGCCTTAAGAAGTTCTCTGTTTTCATCTGCAGGGCTGATGGAAATGAACACTGTTCACATTAACTGATATATATGAGGTCTGTTACAAATAAAACTGCCAAAGGCTTTTATGAGGCAGGAGTGGTATTAGCCTATGTGTTAGGAGGATGGAATTCAAGACCTTTCAATGTTGCAGAACTTCTGTGTAGCTTTAGGCAAGCTGATTTTTTTTCCTCTGTATTTCAGTTCTTTCTTAGCTTCTCTTTTTTCCCCCCTATTGAAATTGCATATAATGGAACTTCATGTCTTTCACAGTGGAGATTAATAATGTGTTAATAATAAGACTGTGTCATCGTAAGACTACACAATACAGAAGTGTCTTTGAACAATATGTGGATACATTTTTAAGTCGCAATTTTTCAAAGCTTTGTGTGGCTTCTTATATTTAAGCCAGGATAGCAGGAATCTGATCCAGCAGGTTACCTAAAACTATTTGTAGAAGCTGACATAGTAAAAAATTAGGAAATTGAATACTTTGAAAGAAAAAGACACACTAATATAGCCAAAAAGGGTGTGGTTTGAGTAACCAGAGGACCCAGAGTAACCAGAGCTGATAACGTAAGAAACTAAGAGCATGAGATTAAGAAAGTAGGAAAAAACTCAGTTTAACCCCAGACCCTTTGCTGAAGCTTTTAATATAGTGACACAAACAGTATAATTTGGAATTGTGACAAATGACTTCTGTAACATCCTGGAAGTGCTATTCAGTATGAGTGTTCTGTCACGTTCCATTTTGGGAGTTAGAGTAACTTTCTTGAGATAGACAGAGGGACCCAAAAGATCCCTCATCTCCACCTTTACCAGCTTTGGCAATGTCTCAATATTAGATCTGGAGCTTCTTTTTCCTTTTCCCCCCTGCTTGTACCTTTTTTGTGTCTTTTATTCTTCTCTTACATTTTCCTCCCTTAGCCAAGAAAGTGTGTTTAGTAAGGCTGCTGATAAAGTTGCCCTGTGCACAGAGCAGCTGACTGAATCATACTAACATTCTTCAAAAAAGGACAAATAAGAACACCAAAAACAGAACCTATACACCAAGTCCTTGTTGGAGCCTGGCTGCCTGTGCTCAAGGGCAGCTCTGACGTGGCCTCATCTCAGGCTCAGGGCCTTGCCCTTGTTTTTTTGTGGATCTGCCCTGCTGATTTTCTGGCCCTGCTCAGCTCTTCTAGCTGGGTGCTGTGAGTTGGGGCCATGTCAGGGGAGCACTGTTGTGTTCCTTACTGTCACCTGTACCTTATGTCTCACCTGCTCCTGCTGCTCCCTGACAGTGTTTTCCATCCTTGCTGCTTCCTTTGCTACTTCTTTTTTCTTTTGAAAATATGTCTTGCTTTTTCCTCAAGAAAACAGGGCATCAGCACTAACAACTTCAGACCATCTCCCAGTGAAATTGTCTTTCATCTTCTCCCTACAAAGGATGACCTAAATGCTGGCCAAATATGGAAAGTTTCCATTAAAAAAACCCTCTCTTTTACAAAAAAGAAAGACATTATTCATGATGTTAAAATTAAAACTTAGTCAATATTGTCGCTATTTCTCCTTTAAGAAGTTTTAATAATGTTTACCATGAGATGAAGCAAAATTGAGCCCAAATCTCAAATCTTGACTCAGACCTTCCTATCATTTAATATTCTAATATTAGCTTTGGGCTGAGTCTTACCAATACTTTTAAATTCTGTACCTATTCAGTCCACCAAAAATACCATAAAACGGATTATTTATCAAAAAAATCCCAAGCACTAACCATTTTTCCCTATCTGAGAAAGTGCTTTAACTTTTTCACACTAAAAAGACTGGTAATAGTAGTAATAGGTCTTGCATACCTGTTGCTGAAATTGTGCTTTAAATGTGCTACATGGAGAAGGTGGGTTTTGTTTTGGAGAAGTAGGAGCATATTCTGGCAGACATAAATTTGAGCTTCCAAAGTTCAATCCCCTGACATGTACAGTCTAGTCCTCCACTCCAGATATTTTAACAGTTGCCCAGGTGCAGTCCAGTATTAAGAGTAAGAGCTGGCATCCCTGAGCTCACCACTGCAACCCTGCTGTATAGTGCTGCTCATTATTTGCTGCTACCCAAATTCAGACATGTGAGTCTGCACCCCCAAGAGGAGTAAGTGCCTTGTCTGACCCTGGAGCTCCAACCTCAAATAATGCTGTAGAGGTTAGAACCTGATTAAGGATATATGGAGATGTCCCAAAGGAGCTGCTGTCCCCTGTTGTATCTGTGATATCTAGGATGAGGCAGCCACTTCAGTTACATCACCCACTGAGCTGCTAACACAGGAGCATTAACCTATGCTAAAAAGCCTTCTGTGTCCTCAGTACAGAGTTTTAAAATCTTCATGGAGGACTAAATAGCATTTAAAGCCCATGTACTCTTTGACTAGGTATTCAGATATCCTTTTCTCTCTGCTCCCAGCTTCTTAAACCAGCTTTATTATACAGTGAAGGGAGGATTTGTCCAGGATAGTTTCCTATCCTAGCAATATTTGGTCTCCTCCTCTGCTTCTGCCTCTTCTTTCCTACCTTAATAGCCTTTTACTAGCAAAATGTTAGAATTATAGAATGGTTTAGGCTGGAAGAGACCTTAAAGGTCAACTAGTTTCAATCCTGCTTCTGGCTAAAATATGATGAACTACCACATACCTAGAATACAGATACATAAACAGACATTGCTCATTTGCTTCTTTCCTCTCCACTCTGCGAAAAGTGGTAGTCTTTCTCCACGGAGTCTCTGGATGCTTCCTTGGCCTGGATTATCCCTTAAGAGCAGAAGTGTTGTGCTGAATAGGGGAACAATTTACACAACATTTTAATTTGTGAAATGCAATTGAACTGCTACTAATTATAGTGCTGTAGTGTACAGAGGGGAGGTTGACTCAGACTGAGTGAACTGAGTAGAAATCACATCCATACTTCCCATCAAGCATCCCACTGCTGTGCCACCAGAACCAGCTGGTAAATGTCAGCAGCTAATATTTCTGTTTTCATATTGTCTTAATTTGTCTGAACAAGCCAAGGAAAAAATAACTATGTCCTGCTATGAAAAATATTTAACTTTTCATTAGTGGTTATCACTGGATCTGGTGCTGTGCAGCAAGCTGTGACTGGAAAAGGACATTGCCGGCATTTTTACTTGGAGTGGCAGGGAGAACCGGACTCAGAAGATTCTGGCATTCATTTCTGTAGCCATTGGCTACACCAGATGTAGTTGATTCACAGCACTGCTTTACACAAGAAAGAAGCACCCTGCACAGCAAACATGTGCTTTCTCTCTCCACCTTGCCCATGCTCTGCTCTTGTTCCAGCTACAGAAAAGGGAGATTCTGCAACTTCTTGGCTCCATCAGGAGCCAAATGCTTGCTGTCCCCCTCTTTTATGCATCTAGATGATAGAAAAAATTCTATACTTGTAACCAAAACAGGACATGAGCCTTTCTTTTTGAGCATGAGGTAGGATCTCATATACTTAAGGTTTACCATCCTCCTAAATGAGATTGCTACATCCAACCTTGTTGGGAATAGTACGTGTGCCAGTTGTGCCTGGGAAAGTGCAGGTTCAGCTATGAATCATGCCAGGTTTTGGATTATAATTTAATATAGATTATGACAGAAAGCTGATTTTACTCACCTTCTAAGAAACTTACTGGTATAGTCAGTCTATATGCCTATTTTTTGGGAGATGCAGCTTACCCACAAACCAGGACTGGCACACATGCACCAGAGTATTACCTTTTGAATTTCAAAGTCATGATTGACCCTTGCTAATCAATTGAAGTCTCCACCAAAAATTTCCTATTTAGAATATAATTTGGTGATGTCAGTTGGTGGATTTCCAAATCTATATCTATATCTACATCTATCTACACATACACACACATATATCTACACATACACACACATATATATACATATATGTATATACACACATATATACACACACACACATATATGTATTAATTATTTCCAGACTGTATGTAATCCTTTGATGCAAACTAACAGAGGCAGAGACCTTACCAGAAGCAGAGATCTTAGTATGAGCAGCCATGGCTTCCATGAAGCAGCTTTTTGTCACATCAGTCCCTCTTTGTAGTTACACTTTATTTGACTGTTAAATGATTTGCTATTTTTTGCTGCTGACATCACGCTTATCTCAGACTTTTCAGCTGAGAAAGGAGGAAGAAGGAATAATGAAAAAGAAAAAAGGGGATAAAGTTAATGGTGTCATTTCTTTTTATGCTACATACAGAACTGTAGCTGTAAATGGGTACCAGTACCCATTTTATTGTTAGAAGTCCACAGCTAAGTATAATACTCAACATTAAATTAATATGAATTATTATTTACCTCAGTCTAAATGTGCAGCACTTGTAAAAGATGGATATACTCATTATTTCAAAAATGTCTTTGTGAAATAAAGAGCAGAATGAACTTCTGTATAGAAGGGGAGGTGTTCACTGTATTGATAAATACCATTCAAAGTCAGTACTCCAGAAAAAGACAACATTGTCAGTGCATCCTTTTGTTCTGATAAATGCTTTATTTATGGGGTTTGGGATGGAGTTTTATGAAACTGACAATCCAAAAGCAAACATGGCAGTCAATGAAGAGTTAGATCTTTAAGGAGAAAAATGTTTTTTGTCAGGTTGTACTAAGATTGGCTTCTAATTACATTGTAGCAGAACTCCATGAATGGAAGACACCATTTCATTGTGTTTAAACAGAAAGATGAAACAATGGCTGATAATTTGTGACATTGACACTCCATGAATGGAAGTAAGTGAATTTTTTACTCCTTTACCCTCATCCTGGGAGTTGAATCCAGGAAGAAAGGAAGGCTGGGAGAAAGGTGTTTTTAGATTTTTTTTTCCTTATTTCTCATTATACTGCTCTGTTTCATTTGCAATAAAGTAAATTAATTTCCCCAAGATTGAGTTGATGATGGTAAAAGTTGAGTGATCTCTCCTTATCTCTACTCACAGACTTTTCATCATATTTTCTCTCCCCTGTCCATGTGGGGAGGGTAGTGATAAAGTGGCTTTGGTGGGCATCTGGTAGACAGCAAAGGTCAACCCACCCGAGTTGGGCTGAGCATTACCTCCAACATGTGAAGCAGAGCAGCTCAGAAGAGGGGCAGAACCTACAACCATGCTTATGCAGATCCAGTGGGCAGGAGGCTGCGTGCAGGGAGCGGGGAATGGTGGCTGTTCTCAAGCACAACAGCCAAAGTGCAGCTGTCCAGACAGACGATTGCTCGCCTGCACACTGAATACGTTATGCAGACAGAAACAGGCCATCAGTTATTTTCTGAACTACTGACATTGGGTCTGGCTATAAAGACAGATGTGTGTGTCATTGATTTTATGCTGCTCAATAGGGTGGCTCCTGTGGATGAAAGGACAACTTCTAAATGCTTCCTGAATATGAGTGGCTGACCTGAGTTTCTAAGATAAATGCCAAATTGTACACTTTCATTTCCACAGACATTAAATAAAGCTCAGAGCAGATGAGAAAGAGCTTGATTACAACGTTTACTGAATAAATTATTACCAATATAGTTACATGTATGTATACAGCAGTTGCAAATTTCAGAGTAAGAAACTGATCCTAGGAAAATCCTACCGATGTCCTTACTCCAGTGGTCAGTTGTCTGAATGGTCATAGATTTTCTAACATCTCATGCTTTATAACCCTTTCCAGGAGGCTTTTTTTTTTTAATTGGATGTGATTTGTCCTCTGAAGTAAATTGAAATTGTCTATGCTAGTATTTTTAAATTCCTATAGTTAATAATACCTGCAGCTTTAAACAATATTTGCAGTATCACCTTTTAATTACTAACTGGCTATGGTTTTACAGTGTTCTACAACTATCTTTACCTCAGGAAGCTCAAGCAGGCAGATCATCATCCTCTTCTTCACACTCCTCTTTGAACACCTCTTCACAGGAATACAAGGGCTGTAGAAGGCTTGCAGCTGGTAGAGAGAGGATCCTCCTAAGACACATGAAAGAAGTCCCTGCAGTGCATGCTGTGGTGTGGATTTTCAGTTGCTCTGAGCTGTAGCTCTCTGGAGTTTTCTCCTGAATTAGAGCAGACTTGGGACTAATGCTTTGTGCTATGGGCTGTAATAGTTTCCAAAGCTGATGTGAATCACAGGAGTGGGAGGGTGGCTGACAGCTACCTTAGGGCTCTGCTGGTGGGCCATATCTTTTAGCAATATTACAGCTGTGGGCACCAAGAGACCTATGCCAATGGATTATATCTGGCTGTGAAAAAATATTAATGGTAGAATTTTTAAAACAGAAATGGTTTGTCTTAACAGCATCACAGTTCTTCTCACCTCTCCTGTCATCTGTTTTCAGTTCTTGTGGGTATACTAAATGCCCTAGAAATGAGGACACATGAGCTGTTTGAAGGTGTAAAGCCTGCTGTAATATTGTGGGGGGAGTGTGGAAATTGAATAAGACGTATTTTGTACATTCTTGTCCACAGTGTTTTTTGGGGGCTGACTTGAAGATGCCTGTTCCCTGACAGTCCTGGGACATAGTCTTGAAGAAATCTCATTATAAGTCCAGAGCAGGGCCATGACTAAGACCTTCCTGATCCTTTCATTTGTGAGTACTCTGGAACAAGACACAACTGACCATAAGTTGGAGGTAGATGATTTGACAGTGTCTCTGGTCATGAGCAGAACTACAGACATCTACCCAATTTCATAAGCACCAAGGTAAGTCTATGCAGATGCTTAAGCGTATATGGAGTGTTGCATTTCTTGGACACCCTCAAAATTCAAGCACGATTTTTCAGATTGTAGGACTCATGAAGTTAGCAGGATAAGATGGAAAAGTGTTGTGAATCTGAGGCACTGACCAAAATTATCATATAGTCTCCTTTAGTGCAACTTGGTATGTTTATCATGCAGCACATCTGGTTTTTTATTTAAAGATAAATAAGAGCTAACAAAGATTCACAAGTAACTGAACATTTGTGACATTTTCCAAAGTGACCTACTTATTGAAGGGATGCTGTACTTTGACTTTGAAGTGTACTGAAAGAAAGTTGATACTGGCAGCCCACCAAATTAAACAACAAAAGCAAACCTTGATGTTGGCAATGCTTGAATGATAAGTCCCAGCACATACAGATCTATATGCAAATAAAGATATTTTATTTTCATTAAGTGACAAATAAAATATTTTACTTTACTGACATGATAATGATTCATGTTGGGGAAAATCCTGGCGGCTTTCTCAAATGTTTCTGGTATTTTAAATGTGCTGATAATTTCTATTTGAAGTATGAACCACCACCAGCACTTTTGACAGCTGCAGTATCTTCTACAGTCATATTTATTCTTCATCAAAGCTTAGGGAGAGTAAACACACCCCAAGCTTTTAACATTTTGTTACTAAACAGCTATGTTTTATGGATTCCAGTGGGGGTCATCCAACATTTCTGTGTTACAGCTGTAGCAATCAAACTTCTGAGCAGCGGTTTTAGAGTTTGAAGCATATTTGTTGAATGGGCCTTTTATGATCTGTGTTCTTAAGTGGTGAAATTGACAACACGCTTGCCATCTTCAGCCGCACGCCTCATGAACAACTACAGGCACCAGTGGATGCTGGGGGCCACCCAGCTGGAAAGCAGCTTGGCAAGAGAGGAGTGGGGGACGCCAAGCTGAATGGGAGCCAGCAGGGAACTCTCGATGCAGAGGTGGCCGGTGGCATCCTGGGGTGTACTGAGTAAAGTAATGACACCATGGTAAGGGGTGTGACCAGC